GCGGGGGCGGGGGCTGGGTCCAGGGGGCTGGGGGCAACAGGCTCAGCACCATTCGTGTCCCCTCTTCCAGGTGAAGCGGGAGCCAGGAGAGAATGGGACCAGCCTGACGGACGAGGAGCTGGTGACCATGTCTGTGCGGGAGCTGAACCAGCATCTGCGGGGCCTGTCCAAGGAGGAGATCATCCAGCTGAAGCAGCGCCGGCGCACACTCAAGAACCGCGGCTACGCGGCCAGCTGCCGTGTCAAGCGTGTCACGCAGAAGGAGGAACTGGAGAAACAGAAGGCAGAGCTGCAGCAGGAGGTGGAGAAGCTGGCCTCGGAGAACGCCAGCATGAAACTGGAACTTGACGCCCTGCGCTCCAAGTACGAGGCCCTGCAGAACTTCGCCCGGACCGTGGCGCGGAGCCCCGTGACCCCTGCCCGCGGGCCCCTGGCCTCTGGCATGGGGCCGCTCGTTCCGGGAAAAGTGGCCACCACCAGCGTCATCACGATAGTGAAATCCAAAACGGACGCCCGGTCGTAGTAAAGCGCACGCTCCCGGCGCTGGTCTGTGCAGGGCCGTTAGGCACGCGGCCGGCCTGGACCCCCGAAGCACAACCCCCTTCCTAGCCGGGCCAGGGCTCCATCCCTGTGGCCCAGGACCAGCCCGCGGCTCACTCCGGTGTTGTGTGTTGTTTTGTTGAGATTGATGTGACCAGTGGTGATGTGTCCCCTGTGCTGTGCGAGCAGAGCCTCCTGCCTGGGCCGGCAGGGCAGAGATGGTGCTTGGCCTTGGCATCCTCGGCACAGACCGTCCGTGCAGCGAGGAGGAAGGTGTGATGGCGGAGGCCTGTGGCGCCACCCGTCTTGGGGAGGGGTGGGGGCGGCGGCTCTGCCGCAGGGGGCTGGGAACACTGAAGTCAGTCGCTCCCGACAGCTTTATTCCATTGCGCTTCCCAGGGGTGCGTCACGGCACCCGTCTGCCATGTGCCCAAATCTGCTGCTTCTATCTCGTGTGGTACCGGTGGCTGTAGTGGGGATTGGTCCGGGGGGCTGATTCTGTGCTCACCTCCTAGGTGCGTCCCCTCCTCACCCTGAAGGGGGTTGTCTTGGCTTCCACTGTGTCAGTCTCATGACCCCACGGCAGTGGACAGGGGTGCTGCAGCTCCCCGGTTCCTCTG